GTTGTCGCAGTTCGGAGACCCGATGGGGAACCTGTGGTCAGCGTTATTCTCCTTCAAATTTTACTTTTAACCTGCATGAAGCCGTACCCCCTCCCCCATGGAGAAACTCCTTGCGAAGGGGGTACGGCTACAAGTAGGCTGAAATTTACTCTGAAGTAAGGGTTGTTCGGATTCCTTTTTTTTGGTAACCGCTGGTCATTCTTTTTCCAGTTCCGGTTTTCCCCTTTCCGTCGCTTTGAATACGAAGAGAAGAAAAATAAAGACGTATCTGTCAAGTCCATGCTATTTTTTTTAGTTGTCTTCTTGGTAACCCTCGCCTCTACCAGGTCCCAATATTTTTAACAGCTGACTGACAGTTGTCACCAGTTTCTTTAATTTTGGGAGTTTAAGAAATGAAACCACTCGGATTTCAAATTAATCAAGGCAATCACTCAGTTTGTCAGCTTGGTAGCCTTCTGACTTAGAGGTAATGTAACTCTGTGTTTATGGTAGGTGATTGTACAAATATCAGAAAAAGATTCTGTATTCATATCCTTTTTCCCCTAAGGAAACAAGCGCGTTGATTAAGTAACCGATAACTAATATAAATCTTCATAAATCTTTCGTGTAAAGATGTCCATATCAGGCCTATGTTTCTTTTTCCACTACTTGAATAAAAGAAGATGATAAACATCTGTAATCTTTCAATTTATCCCCAATACGTTAACGCAAATTTTAATCACCAGAAACGGCGAAGGTCTCGGTACGGGCGAGTCGAATGTCTCGATCGTGCTCCTTAATTCTGTCTTGCATAGATATTCATATATATTCATTTAACTATCATCTGTTTTTGGTGCCCCAATAGACTATCCGGAATTCGGATAAAACCAACACCGCAAATAACGTTTTTGAAAACTGTAAGCAAAAACTTTCAAAGTGCACAACTGTCACGTAGCATCTTTAACCTAACCCAATGTGATTTCCCCATTATATTCACCACATGTCGAGGAATATAAGTTTAATTACGAATTAAGTATTGATTAATATCCTAGTAAATATTAGTTGTCACGAAATTATGATTGGTTGTAAAAGAGCGCGTGTTTGATTTCAATCACAATTTGTAAACAAAGTCCGCGGTTGATTTGCTTTGCGAAAGATGTTGTAATTGCACGTGTTTTCCGCTTAATAAGGACTGGAAAACGTGTACATGTTGTCGGGAAATAGGAATTTAATATAGGGCTATTACAGTAGATTTTCTTGGGATTTAACTGTACTCGTGATTGTAGGAAAAATACTAGCTTAGTTACGCAAGACGAACTAGAAAATGTGTTGTAGATGGTAGATTAAGTCAGACTCGCGAAAACCGTCAGAATTGTCAAGATCGTTAGATTGTGAAGTGTAGATCGTGGTGATCATCGTAAATAAACCTTGAAAAAGAGAATCGCTTACAGTCCTCTTCGATCGAGCAGAGACAGAGTTTCTGCGACACCACAAACATTGGTGCAAACTGTGGCAAATCGACCTCAAGAATCCTGGTCTAACATTTTCAGACAAATGTAATTGCGTTTGACATTAGGAGAAAGCGGAGTATTTATGTCGCTTCTTTCTAGACGCTGTAAGATTTTACGGTTTTGATCCCATCTTGGACAGTGCGATTTCATGAGATAGCTTTAAATCCTGCTGGCAAAACGAAGTCCCGCGAGTTGAATCGGACCTGGATGCCATGGCAATATATGAAGATAAATTTCACCCATTTGATCGACCAAAATGAGTTGCTACAAATCAGAACTGTGAGCCACGCCACTGCTCGATGGCCCCAGGTTGAAAAATGTACTGGATTTCGTTACGCCGAGACAAACCGTGCATTCTTAAGCTACACTGCACTTACCTTGATCATTACTATTTTTGAGGGCTAAATTTATAATTTAAGAGCTGTCAGTAAATAAGTCTCAAATAAACTCAAATATAAGACGTTGAAGTACTTTCATATTATCAGACAACGAGTTTCGTTTTGTTTTCGAATGGCAAATTTTGGGTACTAGTCAACAGAGACCTGAAATCGGAGGCACATTGCAACTTCTGTTAATTGCATTTCATACTAAATGATTTGTAATTGATCGAATTATGTGCGAGTGTCACAGGCAAATTGGTACAAATAACATTTACTTCTTTCTTATTTTTCCTTTGAAATTAGGGATCCATATCCTGTGTTTTGTTATAATCAAAGCTTAACAATAACTAATCATAATCTGAAGTTCCCAGTGGCGACTTTGACGAGATCAAAGTTGAGTTAGTCAAAAGAATTCTCTCCTTAAATGTTGTTCGACAGTGCTGTTGCTGGAACTGAAATTTCCAGCCTCAAAGTCCCACAACCTTTAGATAATGTAACCTTTAGATGTTGCAACGCACCACAAACTTTGTTCCTAAGAACGTGAGTGTTCAATCTGATATGACTCCTACATAAAAACACACTCTCTAAAAATGTTTTTAAGTCAACACATGACATTTATAAAGAAGGAACATTGCAGCTTCTTTTTCGAGTTTATGTTTCTTAAATTACTTCTAATCATTATGGGAAATATGCGTAGTATAAACACGCGCCACTGTCTCAACAGGTGTTTACTCATAGGCTCGTTATGCTAGATAAAATTTGTGCAAAGGGGAGATTTTTTTAAGGTTGATAGTCTCGGAGAAGACTGATAAATATCGATGAAATGTGCCTGAGTTCCTTTCAGTGAAAGGTAAGCGCCACCAATATCTGACTCTCACGGTTAGGAGACAGACACTTAAGCTTCGAAGCCTCGCATTGTCTCAATATTATGTCTAATCTCAAAATATCAACTAGTACTCTATTTTGCCAGACGCTTCAGACATTTATCTCACCTAGCAACGTACAGTGTCGTGACGACAAAAATTGAAAATATCCGAAACCCTAATATAGCTGTGATTTAAAACAAAAACTTCTGTTGAGGCCAACTGTTGTTGCGCAGAGGCACAAGGCTCAACAATGTTACTTTTGGAAAACAGCGCTAGCCATTTAGGTTCGATATTGTAGTCTAAAAGAGAGACGTGGGTCAAACAATCAAAGACCTTAAACTTATTTAAGAAAAGAATAAGGAACATACATTTAGACGAGCTTTTGGATCAAAAGTGCCATTCCCAAATGCGACTCCTAGCAATTTCTTTCAATTGTATGTAAATATTACTTCTTATTATGGAATCTTAGGGAATGTGCTTTCTTTAGATTGTACATTGATTCAACTTAGTAACATGCAATTGTTAATATAAGTAATTTAAATGGTATTTGTTAAGTCAGAAGGATTGTGATAGTGATTTGAGTGTCTCCAATTAGCGGATGTCTTCTGCTGGTGCTAGATCCCTGAGACACCGACTGATAAAGTAAAAAAAAATTTTAATTATTATTATTATCATTATTGTATCATCATTATTAGTATTTTAAATAATTCTAATTATCATATGTGATATTCCCACTCAGGGATCTTTTTTGAGCGTATTCTGTTGCATGAACTGTTCGTACGTAGGGCAAAATCATTTACTCGAGAATAATTTGACTGAAAATACCTAAATATATCAATCTCTGCTCTTCTTTCGTTTTTACACACTGGATGGATCGGCGCCCTCAATGGGAATAGACAACCCCTTCGCCTCTTTGATTTTCGGGCGTTTTGTTTCTCGGATAATTTATAATTTTCCGGCTCTGTAACTTTCAAAGATCCTATTCCCTCAGGCAGCCATATACTGCTTATTAAGATGCCAGCAAACACCTATATTAAAGGTTTTCTTCGGTTTTTTTTCAGTTTTTTTTGTTGCTGTTGCTTCTCCAACAAGACTGTAACTTCGTATGAAACTACCTTTAGTCGTTCTACGAAAGAATATTCTACTCAAATAAACAAGCAAGGCTCCCTTTTTTAATTTCAGTGTAATTTACAGTCAACTAGTAGCCTTGACACTGCATCAAACTTAACAGCGTCAAACGTTTAAAATAAAGGACTTCTAAATATTTTCTCCATAACAAGTTACAACCAGAAAGCTATAAAATATTCTACGACTCAATTTAACGATAAAAAGCATGTCTTTTGTAAAAGCACGATACACTTAATTTCACTCCCATCTACCTATTCTAAAACAGGCTTTTTCTAAGAAAGGATAGTTGTTTTGGATTTAAAATAAATGGAGCAATTCCAATTATCTTGCTTTAAATGCTTTAGATTAACGTTGAAATTTGGATTTTAAGTGTGTATCGATTTAAGTAAACTCTTAGAAAAAATGCATGTTTTGTTTAAGCAAGCTTCTTGAAGTTGTAAGCTAAACTGTATGAATTATTCAAAGAGACGGTTGATGAGGGAGAGAGGAGAAGAGAAAACTATTTACCAAATAAATTAAAAATAATTAAGATTCTGCGATTTTTATAAAGCGACAAACTTAAAAGAACAAAAACCTTGACTCTCAAAAGGCTCCTTAAACCTAACATAGCTTTCTAGACATTGCAAATACCTTTAGAGGTTGTAACGTACATGCTACTTTATTGTGCTTCATTTATAGCTAGTTAGACAAGCCTAGCAATAGAGGTAATAGAGATGCACACATACGGACCAAATAGCATCATCTGGACAG